AAATATATAGGCAAAGGTACATCAAACAGACTAATATTTTACTTGTAATGGCATTTTGAGGGGGAAAAAGAAAAGCAAGTGGGTCTGACCTACTATGTTTAAGTCATTGTTATGGGTAAAATACTTTTTTCTTCTAAATATTTGAAAACACACATAGCAAAACCAATTCTGTAGTTTTCTACTTCTATACATTTAGCATGTCAGTATAGTTATTGTGTGATTAAAGAACAGCAATACTATGAACTGTATTTACTTCTTGTATGGAATTGAGAGAATTCACTCTAATGACTCCTCAGGGTTAACTAAATGGCAGATCAGAACTGATTGCCAAAGCCTCTAAAGCTCCATGCTGTGTGCTTCTGTGGTGCATAAGTGTGTTCCACATGTGATAAATATCCAAGAAAGAGGAGAGCTTGAGCATAGGCACATAGCATATGTTTGAGATAGATGACAAGTTGTTTCAATGGGCTTTTTCACTTTATTCTAAAAATGGGATGTATTACACATGCCAAATGATAATTATGTAAGTTGGGTGAGATTACATGGGAAGATATATTGTTCTACATGCTTTCATGCATGATAAACATTTCTGTGTTAAAAAGTTTAAAAAACAAAAGCTCTTTATGGGTAAATCATAAAGGGAGGGCGGTAACAAAAAGATGATAGCCAAGAGTTCATCAGTCCTTCAAGATAGCAATATATCTCTTTCTCAATTAGGGAGTGTCATTCATTCCTTTGAGGTTGGGAAGGAAACTTCTTTCCATAGAACACAGGAAGAAAAAAAGAAAGGAAGAATATGAAAATGGTTTGTCATTTTTGCTAATTCCCATCTCATGGCTTCTAACATCTCTGTGAACAGTGGTCCAGCATAACTATTGATTAAGTAATGGCCTTAGTTTGAGGAAAGTGAGATTTTTAATGGATATTTGTAGTGAAAACAGGCTAAAGAAAACAGGCTAATTAAGCTTCATTTGTTTTGTTCACATGTCAGTAAGCATGAGAGCATTATTTGTGGAATGAATGATTTCCAGGTAATTCCTTGGCACCAATAGAATCCATTGTGAGATCTAATCCAATAGTGATGTTACTTATAGGAAGACATCCCTGAAAAAAACACAAGAGTTGAAATTTTGCCAGACAGGAAGGATTCAAGGGGACTGGAAGAGGCTCATTGTAGTGGAGCTTTTTAAACGTTAGTCACTAGATAGACCATCAAGTCTACCTTGTAAGGGAAGAAGCCAAGAATTTCATGGATTGACATCAAGTAAGTGGATAAATGAATGGCTTCGAGTTGCAAATTAACAGTGGGCCTTTGTGCTGGAAGGATAGCAGATGAGGCAGAGTATAAAAGGTCAGACTATATTCCTGAGGGCAGAGATGTTTCTGATAATAAGATCTGCAGTGTGTGAGTAACTGCACTGGAGTGGAAATAAATGACATTAAGATGAGGTGATGTAGGAACTGGGAGGCTGGGTTATTGGCTGTTTGTCATATGGATTTAGTGCCCTCCACTGCCTGCTTACCTCTTCATCTTCCCTGCCTTGGTCCTCATTAAACTTATCTCTACTAGGACTTTCACAAAATTTGCATTTTTCTGTGATCTCTAGCTCCTGACATTGTAAGGCCAATGACATAACTGTGGAAAGAAGTCTCTAGTGCGGTAGTGAGAGGGGGCATTGGTGGACACTGGTTGTTGGTTGATCATTGTTCTTTTCTCTCCACTCAGGATTCACAAGGCTGGGTTGAAGAGCTCCTGAAGTGCTCATGAGAACACTCATTCCATTTTTGTGTTTCAGTCTGTACAAGTAGATTTGCCTTCCCCCCAGACCACTATAGTATGGGTGGACATGTGTGTAGATTTGCACCCCTCCCCCAAAAAAGCATTCCATGGAGGTCCATGATAGCCCTCAAAATCTGTAACATCTGTGCATAGTCTAGAACTCTCCTCTGGTTCATGAGCCATTAAGTGTTCTGGGGAGATTCATTATAGCTTCACCAAAACCATATCAAAGGTGACAGATCATTCCTGATAGGGAACTGCACACACTAAGGGCAAGACCCTCTATATTTCCATCAAGCATGGATGGAAGGAAGGCACCAAGATCACCTTTCCCAAACACAGGGATGCCATGCCAGATGCCATGCCTGCAAATACTGCTGTAGTGCTCAAGGAAAAGCCCCATGGCTTTTGGAGCAAGGCATCAGTGTGCTGTGAGGTGTGCTCTGACCAGTCTTGGCAGGTGGAGTTTAGGTCACTTAGAGGAAAAGCTGGGAGCAAGGGAATTTCCAGTGTGGGGCTGATGAGGCATAAACCTTTGTTCCACCAACAAGGTTATTCTTTCCCTTCTTCATTTGTTTTTACTTTCTCACTCACCCTTAGCATCTTTTCCTTACTTTCAGTTTTATTTGGCCTGGGAAGTAGGTAGTTTCCTGATTAACAATTTTATCACTGATAGTTAAGTGATGATGATTTGAAAAAATATATATTTAATCATCAATCCATCAAACTGAAGAAACACCTCGAAATGGGAACCACTTCCCCAGGTGACTTTCCAGAGGGCGTACTTCAGTGTCAAGGATAGGGTATGTTTACCTAACATGTTAAGGTGACCTACTTGAAACAATTTTAAATGCTGTCTATGCTGTTCTGAAACTTTATCCAGAGCATTCCAAGATCCATGCAATAATATCCCCCCAAACAATCAAGGTTCACCCATCTATGAAATCCTCTGATCACTGACTTTTAAATAATAATTAGGCCACTGTCTCTTCTTCACTGACACTTTCTGAAAAATATACCCATCCTTGATCTGCAGATGTGGAAGGCCTGTGTCCCCAAATGCCTTAGAGGACATAAAGCATTCCCTGAAGGGGAAGGTGTGGGCTGCTCTTCATGTCCCTTAACATTAAGCTATGGTGGGAGACAGAGCCCATCTCCTCAAACCTCATCAGGGAGGAAGTGGGCTTTGCAGAAGGGCACATGATATCTGTTTCTCAACAAGAGCTCCAGGCAATGCTCATTTTATGGAAACCAAAGGAAGCAATCAGTAGGAGCTGAACTTCCTCCTTTCCTTCCTTAAACACAAGCCCTGAGAAACCCTAAACCCATGACCCCAACTCAGGACACAGAGAAGACATCACTATTATTATAGAAACATTTATTAGGCAAGTCAATACTCCCCTCCAGGGAGGAAGGAATTATTTGGGGGCGGGAAATGTTTCCCCCTGGAAATTGTAGAGAAGCATTGTGTGCCTAAATCTTGGAGGCTGATGTCTGAAAGCAGTGCCTCCACCAGTGGTGGGAACAGCAGGAGGCGCCTTGGCAGCTTGAGGCCTGCAGGTGGGGCTTGGAGGAGGCACAGTCCCCTTGAGACACACAGATTGGGGGTTCTTCTGGCATACTTGCTGGTCCTTTAATGTCACTGCTTTTGAGCAGGATCTTTCATCCTTTCTGGTATGGCTAATACCTGTGGATCTCTGATCATCAGAGATAGCTGCTTGGAGGCCAGACTTCTTATTTGGCACATTGGAGCAGGGAGCCCTAAAGTTTAAATCACAGCCCTGCACAGACTTTACCCTGGCCTGCACTGCTCCCTTCTGCACAGGTTTCTCCGACTGCACTGAAGAGGGAAGGGGCTCTTGAGGATAGGTGGTAGCTCCTGCCTGCCTATGCCCCTGTTTCTCTTCTGGGCACTTCCCAATCTCAGACCTGACTCTGTGGACTTTCTGGGTCCCAGTGAAGGTAGCTCTGCTCTTAACTGGGCCTCTGCTCTGTACAGATGATATGTGTCTTCCCGCTTTTGGGATGGTTTCTTGCCTTGTCCCTGTGATGGAAGGATGGGGCCTTTGAAAAAGGTTCTTCATTTTATTTAGGAAAAGGATATCCGAAGGAGCCTGTCCCTTCTGTGGCAAGTTGTGGAAAGACTTGCTTCCATGCATGTCCTTTACATCTGTGTCCTGAGGAGGAAATCTCTTCCCTCTAGGTTGGGGAATTATCACTCGAGCATCTCCTCCACCAAGCTCTTTATATTTGGATCCTGTAGGCTTTGGGGGAGGGCACAGAGTATCTTTCTTTACCCCTGGTGGGAAATTCTCATCCTGGCAGGATTTTAATGCATGCCTTGGAAGCCGAGACTCCTGCTGCTTCTCTATCCTGACTGTGCTGTCCTCTGAATGTACATGCAGCACCTGATGAACTTCCTTTTTCAAACCTGAGACGTACTCGGAAGGAGTAGGGGAGGCTTTGTCAGTTAAACTGCCTGAGTCACTGGACATGTCCTTGGGTTGGCCTTGGGCCTGGCTATGCTTCTTGCTCTCCAACTTCAAGTTCAACTCACCAATTAGTTGCTTTCTAAGTTGTGTTAAGTTAGGAGCTGGATCTGATATTTTAGATGGTGGGTTTTCAGTAGTCACAGTGGTGTCTCTGGTTTTCTTTTGGGAGATCCCTAGCTGGCTGGTTGTCACAGACGGAAGAGCATAGAGCTCCTCAGCCCTGGCTATCTCCCTGGGCTTGGTGGGCATGGAAGCAGGTTCTGCTTCATCCCTATTTGTGGCCTCTGTCATTTCAGTTCTGTCAGTAAAATTCAGACTCTTATTCTTTGGTGCAGATTCTCTATTTGCTTGCCTTGCAGGCAGCTTTGAAGGTTGAATGTTGCTTGTCAGAGAATGACTCTGACTTGTTTTGCCAGGGATGGTGTTTGTGACAGACAGAGGTGGTAGTTGGGATTCCACCATTGTCTCAATTTCCTCTGAACGTCCTTGTTGGATCCCCTGTTCCTCCTTGTCCACTAGTGAGGTGGCAGGGACATGAAGGTTTAGGACAGTGAGTGAATTTTCTTTTCGCACTTTTTCACTGTGAAGACCCAGAGGCATGAAGTTCTCAGATTCAGTGCTCACCTCTGAAATCACTTTGCTTGAGGAGGAAGAGTGAGGATAGATAGTGGAATTAGAGTTAGTGTCTTGATCCTCTGTGGATTCAAGCACTTTGGGAGGGAGGCCTCCTAATGACTTCGTAGGCAAGTTGGTATCCTGGTCTCCCAACATCTCTGGTGCACTTGCCTCAAGGAACTTGTTCTGACAGTAGTCCTCACCCACTGATGGTGGCAGACTTCTTTGTTCAATTTCCCTGTTGGATTCTACTGAAAGTATATGCTGGATAGAGTGATGTGAACTCTGCACAGTCCTAGGTAGGTGACCCTCACTCATTTCCCCAAATTTTTTGCTCAGATGTACTTTCAAGAAATTTACCAGATGTCTCTGATTTACATTCTGCATTATCACTTTCTTCTTATCAATGTCACATTCCACATCCTTATCTGAATCACAGGCAGAGTCAGTCAACACACCTTTTGGATAACTACCTAAGCTGTCTGTCTCTTCATCAGACTGCTGAAATGTTTCTGAGCCCTGCTTATAGAAGTCAGCTGATGGGGTGACTCCATTTAGAATTTCACTACCGTTGGCCTTATACGTAGAGATCCATGAGAGGCCATAGCAGCACTTTGGCTTAGGTATTTCTGAGCAATGGCACCTAGGCTTCATGAGTGACAGAGACTCCTGGATCCTGCGGGGCAGGCCCCACCGGTGTTGGATGAGTCTCTTCCTAAGGTGATGTTCAAATTTCTTTCTAAACTCAGCACTGAGAGGATACTCAAAATGATCAATGGAGATTGAAATATGTGCCTTGGAGGGCCCACAGGAAGGAGAGATGGGTGCTGAAGGACAGCAGGCTTCCCAAGAATTTTGAGCCAGAGAGGGTAAACCCCACAAACCTTCCTGTTTCTTCTTTAACACATTCCATTTCAGTTCTTCAATATCAGATGAGGTGTGACATTCTGATTCATTCAGGGGTGTATGGCAATACACTCCACAGACCTTAGTCTGGTCTATGAGACCAGCTGGTAGGATTGGGAGTGGGGATTGAAGGTGGACATGGGGTTGGAGCTGAGTGAGAGGTGAGTGATGGTATAGAGGCAGAGTTTGAGGCAGAAGTCGAGGTTGGACCTTAGGCAAGGATGGAGGTAGGAAATAAGGAAGTCCTGAGGATCCTTGGCCTATAAAGGCATTTGAGATGCTATTGAAGATTGAATAGTTACCGGAGACATGCACAGCAGAGAGCAAGGACTCGCTGTGCAGAGTTGGAAGCCCCCAGAAAAGCTGGATAACTTCTTGCTTTAAATTGCCCGCCCAGCTCTTAGGATATGAGTCATGCTCTACTGAGTCATGCTCTTCAGAACTGAGAAAGAAGAGTTGTGTTGGATCTATAAGTTTGACTGCAGAGTCTTCCACAGAAGAGATTTTTGTAGCATGAATGTCAGACAACTTTTGATGGAAATCATATTGTGTCAAGGTTGAAGAGAAGTGTTTGGATTGGGGTGAGGAATGTTGTCCCAGAAGTTCAGATTCTGAGTGAGAGGATGGCTCTGTAGAAAGAGTTTGATGTGATGGTGATGGTGACAGAAAATTACCTAAGGCGGTTATTGAGTTAGGGGGGAGAGGAGAGGGAGATGGTGGGGAAGGCTCATTCAGAGATGTTGGTGTGAGTTCTACTTTAGGAACTCCTGGGAAAGCAGAAGACTGTTGGAATGAAGGCTCTGCCACAAGAGCTGTCAGAGGAGCTGTGGAAACCACAGGGGACAATGATGGCGAAGACCTTTCCAGAGCTGTCATGGGAGCTGTGGAAACCACAGGGGACACTGTTGGAGTAGACCTTTCCAGAGCTGTCATGGGAGCTGGGGAAACCACAGGGGACACTGTTGGAGTAGACCTTTCCAGAGCTGTCATGGGAGCTGGGGAATCCACAGGGGACACTGATGGAGTAGATCTTTCCAGAGCCTTTGAGAAAAGTCGATTGATTTCAGCAGTTGCATTGTTACATATGTCACAGGAGGGGTCTGGACATAAAAGTTGACGAAAGTGATTGGAATCATGATTCCGTCCCAGGGGGCTGCAGGAGACAGGAGGCAAAATGATGTAGCCAAGGCCACAACAAGGAAAGGAGGACCTACTGGCCTACCGTGGGTGGGGCCACCTGAAGCCTGCTGCCCCTATACTGTGGTCCACATCCATGACTTCACAATGCACTCATCCCAAGGCATTCACTCTCATTCCCGTTCCTATGGCAACCCCTCCCATGACTAGGGAAGGCTCCACTGAATTCCTGGAATAGCAAAGGTTAGGCACTAGATAGCTCAGAAAAAAAGAGGAGATGGCTAGTCACCTTTTCAGGAAAGTAATCAGCTCCCTTTCCTCCTCCACTTTCTTGTGGAAATATCTCGAACCTGGGAAACCAGGAAAGTGAGTTACATGTAATGAAGGTAGACTTATAGGGAATATACAGGGGTCCTTTAATGGGAGAACATTGTGATATTAGAGTCTGAAAGCCCCAGGAATGATTAAATGAAGTCAAATGGGCAACGGTGTGTTAATAAGGTTCCCTTGTGTGTTTCTTATTTAATAAAGTACTTTCATGCACATTATCTCATTTGATGCTCAAAACCACTCTGTGAGGTAGAGGCCAATGATCACAACAAAGAAGATTCTGATCATCCTGAAGCCAAACTACTTTCTCAAAGTCAGGAGATAGAACTTCTGACTCTCAACGTGTACTGTGTAATACCCATGGCCCTGGTCCTTCATTGCTTCTTACTCAGGGACAGCAGAGCAGGGAATCTGAGAAGTGTCTCAGGTTCTGTATTTCCATGAGCCTCTCCTATGAAGTCTGTGATTCATGAAAGAGACTATCTACCAAGTGACATAGAGATCATGGAAAGGAGAGAGGAAGTGTAACCCTTGGGGAGCTCACGTGGAATAGGCAGAAACTTGCATCCTCGTGTCCCACCTTTCCTTCTCCTCTTGACTTTGCCCTGATGCTAAGAACAAAAAAGAAAAAATGAGAGATTGGTAATCATCTCTCCCCTCCTATACCTAGGAAACTCAACATTTGCTATCTAAGAATAATGGCTCTATCAGCCTAAGGCATTTAAACTAATAGAACGTTATCTTCCTTTTACCAGATATTAAAGTTTAAAAATGTATTAAATTTTTCTTCTTTGAAAAACTCCAAGAAGAATTTTGTCTTTGAGGTGCAAACCTGGTTTTCTCAGAGGCCCTCTGCTCAAATAGGGTATATAACCTGAGGCCTACCATTGCTTTTCTGTCCCCTCAGATAGGACCCAATTAACCAGACATGGTGCTCAGAGGCTCTCAGAGACTCAGCACTCATCAGCCCAACACAAAGGCTTGGACAAGTGATGCCTGAGAGGGAAGCATGGATTAGGATGAAGTGCTGGTTAACTCTGATGTCCTACAAAGATCCCCAAGTCTCTAAATAACTGGATACAGAACTAGGGAATCACTATGTTTGGAGCCAGAAACCTACCACCACACCCAGATGGTCTGTGAGCTTCATATGGAAACCTGAGTCCTCCCTGAACCCCTAGCCCTGCCTGGTCTCTTCCCTTAGAAGAGTGATGTTCTGTTGTCTCCTCAGATGTCCCATCTTCAGTGTCTCTATGTCTTAACCAAACTCATTTAGAAATGTGGAAATTTAAATAACAAGAAAGAACTCTGCTGAGGCTTGCTCAGTGTTCCTTACCTTATGTATCTGTTCCTTCTTCCAGAAGGTTGGGATTAATGGAATTCTCATGAAGAAAATTAAAAAAAGGAATAAGCTGAACACTAAGATGGCAATTACATTGTGTTCACTATATGAACATTCTGAGCAGAAGCTCAGATAAAACTCTTGTAGGCTTTTCAGATATAGACTGGTTTCCATTTTCTGAAATGCAATGCTGCTTGAAGCAACTGAGCTCTGAGTGTGCAGAACCTTGACTTTATAGTCTTGTCTGCATCACAGAGCATTGTGGAGTCACAAATGGTTTCTGTGAATGGGGGCAGGTACACCTTCAACAGGGTGTGCCCACAGTCCCAAATTAGTGCTCTGCTTCTTTCACCTGTAATCCAGATATTAGCTGGGTCCCCTTTAATGTTGGAAACCTTGACTTCGGTCTCACCAGGTCCACTACCTTGCAAGTCTGACATACTCTCTGAAATTTTTCTTGTGCCCAGACATTTGCACTGAGGATCATATATGTCCTCAAATCCAACTTACACAAAGCCAGGTTCAGAACTAAAAAGTCTTTTAGACTGTCTTAGTTTTTTGTTTTTTTTTAATGTTTAATAGCAAATGTTTTTCAATAAGTTATAAATGAATAATACCAGTTTAAAATATCATCTCCTCCTCCCCCCAGGTTACGTCTCGTATATTTTGCATACAACCAACCCCTAAGTTCTGTAATAAAGCTCTCCACAGGACATTTCAGGCTTCCATGGACATGGCCAAGTTGTTGTGGGTAGAGTATGATACCCACACAACCCCGTGACAGCTGCTCAGTTGACGTACATCCCCACACAGAAGTCCGGTCTCAGATTTCAGGCTGCACTTGGCTATAATGTCTACAAGGAGGAGTCTTTTCCGGAATCTCTACTTGAACAACACGCTGCTATTTGAGAAGGCTCATTGGCTGTAAGTCATTAGTTTAGGACTCATACGTTTTTAGTTTCCTAGGGACAATACTCAGTACTCTCTCACTCTCATCCCTGTTACTATCCCTGGGCTGAGCCACAAGCTTACTGCTGTTCTCAGGGTCCCCAAAAGGCAACTGGTTTATATTAAAAGGAGGTAGCCTCTCAGGGCTGTCAGCACCCTCCTTACTTAGTGGTAGACAGAGCATGCTTACTTGTACTCATGTTGAGTCTCCCTGAACTCTCACTATCTTGAGTCCACAGAATTTCTGTGCCGTGGAGCTTCTCAAATGCTATAGGTGAATAGAAAGGCAGGTACTGAAGTAGCACGTAGCCCTTCTGCTCATGCATATTCTGCATTGTCTCCTTGGTTTCACTGGTAAACCTGAATTTTAAGGTAAATTGCTAAGAATCACAAAATGGTGGCAGTGCAGCATTAAACCCAGCATTGAGTGCTCCTGAATGTGTCCCCTTAGTGACAGTGCAGGTTGTATTCCTGTGACCTGATCTGTAGCTTCTTTCCTTGCCTTGATTCACACACTGATCTTACCACATTCCACTGTGTGAACTTGAGGGTGTCAGTAAACCTCTTGGAACCTCAGCTTTCTCATTGTTAGGATAGGAATGCACAGAGTGCTTATTTTCCAGATTTGGTATCAAGTGTTTGTTCTTTGTCTATCATAGAATTGGCCAACAGAAAAACAGAAATATAATGTGAGTTGAGAAAGCCGGTCCCATATGTACTTTTAATTCTGTTACCAGCCAACTCTGTAGAGCCCATTCTGATTTTTTCTCCTCAGGTATTTGCTCAACAGTAACCAACATCCTGTCTCTCTTCAGGAACATTCTAAGGTGGCCCCCATGAGCTCCACCTCTGGGTGTACTGTCCTGAGCCTGTGGAACCTGTGATTCAATGGGATCCAATTCCCATGATTATGTTACTAATACTTGACTCTGAATGGAGATTACCCTGGGTGGGCCTGACCCAATCAGAGTAGCCCTTAGAAGAGAAAGAAGCAGTTGCAGACATTTTCCTTCTGCCTCCATGAGTTCTACAGCTGCAGGCACTGAAATCTGCCAATAAACCTGAGTCTCTGATGAACCCAGCCCCGCATGACTCTTTGACTACAATCTTGCGAGTCTTCAGCAGAGAACCCAGTGAACCCTAGGCCTTGATTCCTGACCTCGAATAATGGGATATGATACATCTGTGTTGCCTTAAGCCACTCAGTTTGTGGTGATTTGCAATGCAGCGATAGAGAACTGATATGTCTAAGATACACTCTCTACCAGCATTCTCTGTTCCTCTTTCCTGTATTATTTTCCCTCGCAGCAGTTTGCTACCTGAAGTTATATTATGCAGTCCTTTCCTTATTTAGTCTGACTGTCCCACTGGATTATAGTCTCCACAAGGGAAGGGACTCTGGCTTGTTTACTACCAAATTCCCAGCTCCTTAAAGCAGTGCTTGGCACACAACAGGCACTTGGGCCATATGTGTTGAATGAACTCCTAAACAAACATGTGTGTTTACGTAATTTAAAAACAATTCTTATAGGTGTACTTCACTTCAAGCTAATTTGGCCTGGAATTTTTAATTTATGTATCAAGAAAAGTTTACTGTTGGTTCTTATTTTCTAAAAGAATATAAAGTACAAAACAAGTCATCAAATATCAGATTTAAGTGCAACTCTTTAGGGGTAGATGTATTGCCTCTACCCCTATAGAGCCTCATTGCAGTTTCTTTTAAGAATGTTACTGTATTTTTTCATCACACATTTGGGAGTAGGACAGAAGACAGATAACTTTGACGATGTGCCCTTGTTGAAGGACATCTCAGTGAGAAAGTGCATGGAGTGGACTGAATGATCCAAGTGCTACCAATGCAATTGAATGGTTCCCACCAACAAAATTACATGAAGCATATTTCAGGGATGGTGGTGCCCAGGACAAGGTAATGGATTACTTAAAGTTGTTATAATAGTGAATAGCTTTGCGACTTAAAAGTTACATCCAAATGAAAATGGACAAAATAAATGTGCTAATACCCAGTGCTCTCCCCTATGTGTTCATTTGTGATGCTCAGTGATACACTGAGATACTCAATTTCTCTTATTTTCATGAGGAGTAATATAATAGGTAAAACTACAAACAAGACAAAGAAGAAAGGTTCGCAGTGCTTTCCATTGTAGTGTAGCCAAGAGTGCTGTCTGTCCGGGAGGAGCCTCTTGGAATCTTTGCCGTTGGCCTGGGATGAGGACTCACAGGTGGGTGCCTTCTACTGGCCACTCAGCTATGTCCCCTTCACCTCCTGCAGCATCCCGGCAGCAGTGCTGTGACAGCACAGATTTGTCTGGAAATAGCACGCAGGAGGTGGAGGTCTCAATGGAAACTGACAGTAGGTGGTGAAGACCTGGGGAGCAGGGTAGATGTTGGGTGGAGAGGGATAAAGGAGGGCATCTGTCATACTGTCAAAGATAAAACATATATTTTAAAAAGCACTGATTTTGAGATGTTGGCTTCCTGTGTTACTTCCTGGGCTACCTTGTTTAGCCTGCAGCTATGAGGTGCAGAGGGAGCATGGAGTTCCGTGAAGTAAGGCAGCCCTCGAGGGGAGCAGAGCATCTGTGGAGCCCTGACTATGAACACTCATTCCTGGTTTCACACAGCATATAAAGTAGTTTCTTTTCCTCAGAAAAAATACCTCCTAGAAGAACAAAAGCGCCCTGCAAACTTTTAGGAAAACGGGAGTGTTGTCTTATCTGAGCAAAAACTTTTCTTTCATGAGCATCCTCCAAGTAGTTCTCATCTGCAAGTGGAGATGAAGAAACCTGACAGACACTAGCTCAGCCAGGTGATCCAGGCTAACATTACCAGTGAAGGCATGTTGGTATATATACAATTGATATTATGTCATGAGTATAGCAGCTTACTGTCTTCTGTGATCTTTCTCCAAAAATCTCATAATTCTAGTCAAATCATAAGAAAAACAGCCAAATCTGATAAGGTACATTCTACAGACTACTTCACCAAAAGATATATATAAAAATATGTATTTCCATACCAAAATTATATGTATGTTATCTACATATGAATGTATAATATCTATAGTTTAATGATGAACCACAGGATTCTATTTTTGCTAAAGAATATATAGTTAAATGAATTTAAGTAATAATAAAAGATGCACAAATTTTAAAGTTATGATAATTTTATATTAAAGAATGATTTGTAAGAAAGTGATTTTAAAACAATTGGAATTTCTGTAATTTTGTTACATCCATTGTTACAAGGTTATTATAATCCTCTCAATGACAACTCTCTAAAGCACCAATAATTTCTTTTATGCTAAACTAAGTGGTACACTTTTTATATTAATAATTTTTGTACTTAAAAATTGTGGCTGATTTTCACATCATTAAGGTCACATATTTTGCAAATAGTTATAAGCATGTGCCCCTCTTCTATTGTTTTTACAGTGGAAAATCTACCCTAATAAAACTCATTTCCTTCAATAAAATAATGAGTGGTATATATCCACTGGTCAAACTACTTTTATATTAAATTTGAATCTTGGCCAAACCTGAAAGACATATCATAAATATTTTGTCAACCTTACACATAAAATACTTGTGTGTGTGTGTGTACCCACACACTCACACATACTAATGAAATAAACAAAACACTAATTGTTCTAGTTGCCTGTTTCTGTTTTAAAGAGATACTAACATGGCACTATATCTGTCTTTAACTTGTCTTTTCTATTTGGAAATTTTTCACATAGACAAGCAATTTCCTATGTGGCATATTCTAAAGCTTCATTTTCTTCCATAATATAATGCACTCTTCATAATGCTGATATTGATTCATTAGACAACACCTGACCTCAATACAAATAATAATTGCTACTAAATTTTAATTCAATAAATATGGCTACAATATACATTATTTTAGAGCAATTACCTAATTGTTTGGGGAAGCAAACATATTTGAAATACAATTATTTTTGAGGACACTATATGTTATAAAGTAAGTTGGCAGAATATATTAAAGCAGCAAAATGATTTTTTTAAATTATTTAAGTTAGCAGTTAATGGAGTCAGATTCATTTTAATATAAAACTTAAATATCATAAACTCTATTACTTTTTGCAAATGTTTGTTGTCATAAGAAATGCATATAATAAAAATTGAAAGTAGACTACTTGCTTCCATTGTAACAGTCATCAAATGACTTTGTGGTAAATTGAAGGT